AAAGGATCAGGTCAGAAAGGCACTCGACGACTTCTTCAAGTCCCAGCCCCCGTCGTTCTGGAAGGAAGGAATCGACAAGCTGCTGAGCGCTGGCGTCGAGTAGTGGATGGTGATGATGCATACCTCTAATCTTCAGGTTGGTTCGCTATTGAGATATTTACGAAAAAAGTCGTGTATAAGAACTTATGCGACAACCTAATAGTTGGGAAAAGCAGGGGAGGCTGGGGGGGGCAACGGCGCGACTGCACTGCATCATGTCTGCTGGCCTTAGCTTGAAGTGAAACATTTTTCCGATAGCTGAAGATAGGTACATACACCTCTCCCATGTTGGAAGAAGTTGCGCTTAATGAGGCGGCATGGGTTGCTCCCCCGCACGCCCCCCCCCCCCTCCCAACTACCTCTATATACAAAAAAGTAAACACAAATGAGCAAGATTTTCTAACCCATGCTGAAGTCAGGAATAGCAATGAGATCACATTTCGGTAAGGGATAATCTATTCCAAACCAATCGTTGTACCAATCGATTGCCCTGAATCATTCTAATAGTTGTGCATTCTCAGGGACCAAGAGCTAAATGACAGACTTTGCGGCCAAATCCAGAGAATATGTGCCCTGACTTCTCTTTCCAGGTACCGTATACACTCTTATGGTTGTACCGCTTCTCGAAGAAGTCTGAAGGCAGCTTAGTACGGGGAAAAAGCTCACTCGAGAAAGCTTGAAAATTTACCTGTACATACTCAAGTTCTCCCACAACAAATGCCACTAAATACGGTGACATTTGTGGAGTTCGATCGAATTTTACCAGAAGCTTTTTTGCTCCGTAAAAATCGCATGGAGTGGAGGAAACCACAGGCTAAAACAGATTTCAGACATAGGAACAATATAGCGTTGTTCCGCATGCGTCCGCTATGAGCCATCGGTGGCTCACATTGTCCCTTGTGGACCACTTTTTTTGCCGTTCTGTCAAAATGAATGGGCAGTGGTGCAGGAAGTGCTATTCCAACCATCCCTGACCCCACAGGGCACCAGCTCAAGCCCCGCCCTCTACGACCACGCCCACTTTTTAGCGCGATCGTGACTTTCAAAATCTATACTACAAGCTTCTGTCTATGTGGCTTTTTTTCCTTTTCCACGTAAGAAATCCATGCCGATAACATTTTCGGTATGGACGCTATTTAGAGCCTGCTAAGGCTGAGTCCAGCGAAGTGTCGTTCCTCCCCTCAAGCTCAGCTTTTTCAGAGCGCGGACAACTAGACATCTTACGTATGCTAGCGCAGGAAATGAACGTTATGTTTCGTATCAGGATCTCAGACTGTCGCAGTGCGCACGTTTCAATAGAATTTCGCAAAGAAAAAGTACGGCAAAAACCCGAGAAAAGGTGGAGAAAGTTATGAGCCACCAGTGGCTCATAAATTGTGAGGCCACCTCAAATGGCCTTAATAAATGTCATCAACTGGGTTAATCATGTTTAATGACAAATTGTCTCCAGAAGCAGTGTTCAGACTTCGCGATGACGCGCAAGGCGCTTGCTCCAGGCTATAGACGGGAACTTAACCATAAAAGGGTATCAGTCGGCACCGGCATTACTGCTTCTTGCAAAGATATGACGACGAGTCAAGAAGTTTACGCAATTGGCTTAATCCACCGCCCAGCCACAACTGTCCGACCCGTCCTGGCGCTGCTTATGCTTCATTTGCGAAGTACTATGAGGCGAAAGGGACAGTCTGGGCATTCGATTGGCACGTCGGCGGTTAGTTGTATTTGAGATGAGAGACTTATGGGCGAGTACACGAGGATACCTAGGGCTGTGTTATCCAAGCATAGCAGCGTACCGCATCCTATCGTGCGCATACTCTTGCAAACTCAATGAGTCAAGTCCTCATAGTTAGGCGCACACAACTGCACCGCGCCGATCGATACCCGACCAGTGGTTGGGTTCCCGTCTAGAACTGTAGTGCTGTTGTGATAGTAGACGTCGACGTGAAGTCTGAACGCTGCCTCACTTCTAGGTAGGTATCAGACCTCATCTACACTCAATCCCAAAAGACCTTTTTTTCAATGAAAAATGGCATGATAAAAAAGAAAATGTGGACCTCACCATATTGGAAATGGCGGTCATCCCAGCATCAATGATCATAGAAATATCAAACGTTGCCTTGTATATCGGTTCATCGAAACATGGGAAGGCGTAGCGAGCATAAGTGGACTGGAAAGCCACTGGAGTTCAAACTAGCATGAAATGTAATTGGATAAACCATTTTCAGTTCATTCTGCACTATTTCAGCTAGCAAGATTAGGAGGGCCCGTGCAGCAAAAGTCCGTGGTCCATCACTTGACCTCCTCACTCTTTACAAGGCAGCGGACCTGTGCTACTTCTGCGTCTTCTTTTAAAGGCAGTTGGCACGATAAATCCCCCAAGACGACTAGGATCAATACTCCTGGCAGGATAGAATTCCGCGACCCTGGGCAGGCGCTGCATAGCGGTTTCCCCCGAGGAAGGTGCCTTTACAAGGGC